ACAACAAAAATGATGGTGATTTTGACTCAGGATCTGATGTAATGTGGTAGCTGAGGAAATAAGCAAATTCTCTTGCTTCAAAACCCCAACGGAAACATTGCTTTTTCCAAAAAGTAATTTTTGGAAATTGTAGCAAAAATGACATGACACTATCCATTCATATTCTTCTTGCCTTCGTTCTCGTGCCTATAATTCCAACAAATTGATGAGCTAGATTCGCCTTTTTGTACATAAAAGTGCACTTGTGAACATTATTCACATGTAATGTGTTTGAGGCCGTTCTTGACCCGCAGAAAGGTCATTTAAATTTTGAACTTTCGCGCGTTTATTGTGCATATTTTCTTCTTTGGGACCAACCAAGGGCGGAAAACGGGGAAACGTGAAGAAATAAAAAGAGATTTATGGGATTACGAGAGTGGTCACGTGAGATGCACGGTAATGACAAGCGATAAAGTCAAGCACTGAGAATGAGACTGAAATTAACATCATTTTTCTTATTTTTAAGAAAACGACTTCAATAGAAAAGTCATTTTTGCATGGTTGCCTCTGAACTTTTTCCCTTGAGTTTATGAATTCTGAAAGTTGCGCAGTTGTCTACGTTCTACAGCGCAATATTACGAGCAGAATGATCTTCTGTCTAGCAGCAATAAATTTTCAGAAAGTCATAAGAGAAAGTACGGGTTTTTTGGTGCCCCCTTCAAATTAGTTCGCTGAATATTTATAACTGAGAACTGCGCAGTTGTCAGCTGTAACCTGAATAAGATTTCCTGTCAAATGAGTCAAAAAAACAGACTTGAAAACATTAATTTGACTTAGAAATCGAGGAGAATAAAAAACACGGTTTTCTTATTTCATTCATTCAGACCAACGACCAGAGCCGACGGTTCATTTAGCTCTGGTGGCCTGTCTCGGCTCCAACTTAGCGAGACCCTCACCATTCATATATCATTCTGGTAGAAATTGTATGAAGGATGCAGCTGACAAATGCGCAACCTTCATAAGTCTCATCACGAAATTCCCTACATTCGCTTGATTTTCGCTACTCAAGGCTTTGACGGACATGCTTTTATAGTTTAATTCCAAATAGTAACTATTACTTCCAATGATGCATTCTTTTCGAATTTCTTAGACACATCAACTTCTTTGAAAGAAATAGTTACAGCGCGAATTCAGCACTTACTCCTCACACTTTATGGCCTTCTCAACTTCAACTTCTACCTTCAAAACTACACATTTTCTTCATGGAACTCCTTATTATTACCATAAATCTTATGTACTACGACATTTTAATCTTATTTCGTTAACAATAAAATGAAAATTTTCTCCCCCTATTTGTCTCATAGTTCTCGATCTTCAAACTTCTAGTGTGTAGAAAAGTCGATGTCCGCGGCACCACCCCGGACATTCTCAAACTCTCTTAGGTGAGGGTCCTATTTTTTCTTCGTACATTAGTGAAGGTGATCAGAGGCTGGCTATGTATATCTAAGCTATATGTACACGTCTCAAGCGGCAAGATCTGTTTATAAGGGCCTAAACTTATTAGCATTAAAAAAGCTATTGCATTTCTAACATACCTCTCATTTCCTTAGGAACCTTACTGTCCCATATGGCATCGTTATAATGGTCAAGCAAGTACACATACATGTCCCAGCCGGCGTCACGTCGAGCTAAAATGCCTTCGACGGCTGGCGCGTTGAAAAGCAGATCACTAATAAACTGGAATTTCGTAGATAGACTGATTATAAGGATTGGAATTAGGAAACCCACCTCAGTGTAACGGTCAATATAGAACGCAAAACTCTTCTGATCTTCTCGGTCGACATAACGCGCAACAACATCGCTGATTATTTCTTGCAGATGCTCTCCAGAATAAACTTGTTCTATCAATTTCTATATATACACTATCTTATATCAGATTCCAATAGTCTTCAAAGAAATCGGAATCACCTTGAGCTCGCCAATTAATTTCTCTCTGTCCCATTTCGAGTAGTCCTCGGGCTTGATGTGTAGTTTGTGAAAATCATGCACTACCGATGCTATAGCTAAAGTAGCTAAATCAGAAAATTCATTGACGACATTCGCAGATGCCATAGCAAAATTATAGGAGGTGAATATACTCCAAAAAGCTTAATTTCTAGCAACCATAACGCTAACTTCTTTTTTTATTATTGCTATCTTCCAGACTTTTTAACGATAGCGAGTCTCAGCTAAGTCGTGTAGAGGCGTGTTGGCCACCTGAGAAAGGTGAGGGAGAGTAGGTTGGAAGGCGGAGAATATAAGTTGTTAAAGGTTTCAAAGAACGTTTGCTCTATGTCCCTTTTGCCATCTTTTCTCTCTGTTGCAAAGTCATGCTTTATATTACTTTTTACCCATCATCCGTAGTGGTTTCGTTTGGTCTTGCACTTAAACAATAAAGGGACCTTGCGCATTGTGGAATTACACATACAGCAAACTATATTCTTTACTAGGAATCACACTGTTTTTCTATTGAGTTAAAATCATAGTCGTCATATTATCACAAATTCTTTGGAGCAGAAATTATTTGAGAAAAAACTCCATTTTCCTTTCCTCTACCAAACAGAAGAGTAAGGGAAGGAAATGTTGGCTCGTTCTCTTGATTGTGATTGAGCTTCTCGGTTTCAATATTTCTTTCATGCAACAAAGTATCATTTTTTTATAAGCTCCAAAGAGCACGAGTAGACTATGTCTACTGTGATATGACGCTTTCAATACTATAACAGAATGAAAAAGTGGTTGAACAAATGACTAACTGAATG